AAAAAAAAAAAAAAAAAAAAGCGAAATCATAAATCACAGATGCATTTGGAAATCCTAAAAGAGCACAGAGGAGCCTGAAAGCGTGGGTGCCAGAAAACGGATGGTGGGAACTGGACGGAAAGAGAAATGCCTCACCGAGTGATTTCTTCTAAGTTGTATGTTCTAATATTTGACCCATGTGAATATGTTCTGGTTTTTAGCAATAAGACAGAAATAAATAAGCCCAAAACGAGTGCCGAGCAAAACTACAAATGGAAGGTAACACTGTCCACTGCCCGAGACCAGCAGCACCAAAGAATGTGCATTTTTGTACTTGGGAGGACGATCCTGCCTCAGAAGATTGCAGATTAGCACTTTAGAATCACAGGAAATTCTGAGTACCTGAGAATATTTCTCCCAAAATACTCCATTTACTCTAAAATCCAGGATGTTACTTCTGAAATGAATTCCACCTGGTTTGCTGAGTTCTCTCAACTAGATGGGAAATTTTCATCCCAATTGGTTGGGTTTCAGGACAATTTAACCAATAACTGATAGGTCTTTACAAAATTTTGAGAGCAGTGCTCTCCCTTGGATGGCTGATTTTTTTCTTTCTGAGTTAAAAATCATCATAACACGTTCATGTGCAGGAGTGGATCCCTATTTCTTGGGCCTGAAGCTTATAATTTCGAGGACTGTCTCTAAGAAAAAGACTACAAGATTATAAATACAAGCTAGGGCATCAGCCACTACAACCAAAAAGTAGCCAGGCATTGTGGTGGACACCTGCAGACTCAGCTACTTGGGAGGCTAAGGCAAGAGAATCCCTTAAACCCAAGAGTTAGAGGTTGCCATGAGCTATGACCGCACAGCCCTCTACGAGGGCAACATAATGAGACTTTGTCTCAAAAAAAAAATTACAAATTTATTTATGAAAATGGCTACTTATTTAGAATAAGAAAATTAATTTCAACAAATTAATGAAAATGTGCAGTTTGTACCTTTTCCTCTACTGCCTCTTTAAGAGAGGTGTGGAAAATGATCTTACCATAAATGATCTCGTTTGTAATCCGGCTTTAACTCTTCACCTCCAACAATCTAAAACTAGCAACTCCTAATGCTTGAAAGGTCTTCACAGACGAGCCCCATAAAACTTGACCTTCATCGGCTGTATTTGTAAACCTCCTTTATTCCCCAAATGATGTCATTAACCTAAGACCTTTTAAACGGACGGTGCTA